TTCTTACACTGTGGCATAAAATTTATTTAAACTTTTATTGCATAGTAAAATTGGTTTCACATTTGGCGAACTTAACACCGGACGGTGTTCTCTTAGAATATGTTCTAAATCGACGCAATCAAAAAAAAACGGTCGTTTATGTTCCATTTATATCGCATTTTTTGACATTCGCAAAGGGAATCAAAACCTATAAGGTAATTCGCGTTGATTTAGCATCATTAAATTAGGCAAGAAGCAATGTCATGTAGCATAAGTAAAGGAAAAATGCTGAAAATCGTAAATTTGTAGTTATTTAACACAAAAAAAATTTTGTTGATGATATTGTACAGAACCCGCGTTGTGCGAGTCCGACTCGCACTTGACCGACTTTTTTAAATTTTGTTTGTCTGTCTGTCTATCTGTATATTTGTTCACGGAAAATTAAAGTTCGAAATGAAACATGGTGTTGGATTCAGTTTCCACGATTTGATTTTTAAATATCCAATTTTAAGTGACTATATTTATCGTTGCTGACCGTACTTATACTATTTATATATATGTACAGTTAATATCTATTATATAGATAGTTATTATGTGCAACGAATACATAATAATACCTAATAGCTATATTCATAAAGATAATTGGGGATAGTTGCTTTTGCTTCTATTCAGAGATAGTCCATAACGTGTAGAACCTCTATATGTAATGGACTAGTTTATATTTATAAATAGGTATCTATTATTATATATATAAACTATTTTTTTTTTATACAACTTAGAATGGCAAACAAACTGACGGTCCACCTGATGGAAAGTGGTAACCGTCGCCTATAGACATGAGCAGTATCATGGACATAACAGAGTATACTGTTTCGCCCATGATACCCCCCATGCGTTGCCATTCCTGAGGACTCAAGTGTTATTCCTCTGTACCCTGTAAATTCACTGCCATATCCCACCTTTAAAACCGAAACACAGCCGTGCAAACACAACTGCTTTACGGTTGAAATACGAATGGGACAGAGGTACTCAAGCAAACGACTTTTGTACAAAGTCTCCCTCTGGTAAAGATTCTACTGTAATAAAATTTATAGCTGCCAAAACATTTTTTTTTTTTAAGAAAAACTGTCTATCTGTATTAATTATAATTAATTAAGAGGGTTGACGTCAGGCAGGTGGCCGGTCGTAAAACTAAAAACCAAATCTTTTTGTAATATGGATAAAATCATATTACGCCGACCCCAAATGATTGGGATAAGAGTAGGAAGATGATGATGACTGTCTATCTGTATATCTGAATGAATGAATGAATGCATTATACAGTATAGGGAATAAGCAAGGCAATTAATAAATGTAACGATACAGTTGTATGAGTACAGTGAGCCGGTCTTATTGCTGAGAGCAATCTTTACAAGACTACCCTAGGGCAATGGACTAATTGTTGTACAAGTAGGTATTATAATATCGTATAACTGGCTGATGCCCGCGACTTTGTACGCGTGGTATTTGTCATTCCTGTTTAGTATGTATCGATGTATGTACCTACCTATTTATTATGTCTGGAAATATTGGACCAAAATTAACAAATGACGTGTCGTTCTCACTCTTTACCTTACCCCTTTTAGCGCCATTAATTTTTAATCATATCTATTTAAAAATGCCAAAGATATCTTTGTCGTGTCGATGTCATCTACCCTTGTCTCTAAAAAAACTGTATCTCCTCCAAAAATTATCCAATTTTAATATTATTTTTTTTACAGCAAGCTAAACAGCGACTGATTTCACGAGCGCTATGACGCTCGTGGCACATTTAGTTGCAAAGCGCACGAGCGCGATGGCGCTCATCTGCACTCAAAGGGTTAAGTCAAAATGACTTAACTTAAGTAGGTTGTGTGCTAAGCTGTATAAGTTACTATAGTTTTTTAACTATCCCACGGGAACTCTTTAGGTTTCCGTGATTAAAAGTTTTATAGTACAGGCGGGGTTACCATTACAGTATCATACATATGGGGGGAAGGGATTGTTAGTAAAGGGGTCAACAGCCCAACTGTTAGTAATACACTTTAGGTTGATCTTCATCCAGTTGCCCTTGAAAATCATTGTGGTTAGTTCTTGTTGAATTCGTCACGATGGGCTAACTGACCTGCTTGCTTTCGTCCTCACCTATTCACTGGTTTCCCGTCAGCGTAAATCGATATGCAGAATGGGTTACTATTCCGTTAATATCTCATTAAAAAAAAAGAAGTTGTTAGTAATAGACTATCGGTCTTATTTTTATCAGTGTACTTATAGTACCTTATCAATGTATGATAATAGAATGGTAACCCCGCCTGCGCTAACGGTATACGCTGGCGTGGCACCAATGAGGGGTGATAAGTGAGAATGAAAGGGCAGGTCAGTTGGCCCATCGTGATGAATACATCTAGAATTCAGCAAGATCCAGGAGGAGACCACGTGAAGGTCGGCCTGATAGAGTATATTGCTAGCAATGGGACTGATAATCCGCATTACTAACAATCCCTTTCCCTCTATATTAAGTTATCAGGTCGACCTCCGTATGGTTCTTCCTAGAAACCACTGTGGATATTTTTTTTATATAAATCATAAATAAAACAACAATAGTGGAATAATTACTAAATTGGATTAATACTTTTTTTTAATAAAATCCTAGGATCATTGTATTTTTATTTTGATAATGTTATCAACGCCATCTATTACCATCTTTTTAAACTGGACAGGAGTGCACGGATAGTTCATACACAGCTGGTAATCTCATTTTAAAAAGTAATTTGAGTAATAATGACCAGATGGCGCTTAATATAATTCTTTATACCATTTTTCAAGAAGTTTTAACAGCTTATGGAATTTGAGCAAAAATAATAAAATGAATACTCTGCAACTACCTTAAATAAATAAATACATTTGCTAGATGAATAGATAGAAAAAAACTTTATACGACAAAATACCTTTGTTACAATTGATTTAAAGAGTAACTACTAGATGGCGCTTATTTGAATAATTTTAAGTAAATTACAATATTTTCAAAATAAATACAAATAGTGAAAATTTTTGTTTTTATATTTTAGATTTTTGGACTGCAGATGATAGCATTTAATGTATTCCCATGCTATGTTGCGAGGCGCCATAGCTTTCCTTGGTAGACAATGATCTATTAACCGCTCTACATCTGGTTTATCTAAACAAAAACATATTATATAATATAAAGAAAACAATCTTTGGACTTTGATAGATTCATCATAATTAAATATTTACCTATATCAGGTACTCTGGACATAGCTGTATCCATTTTGAACACCCCTTCCTTGGACATCAAATCATATTTGTTCAACAAACACAGAGTCCATTTTTTGAGTGTTGGTTGATCATTCTGTAATGACAATATCTGTTTAGGAGTTTTTTTTATACAACTTAGAATGGCAAACAAGCTGACGATCCACCTGATGGTAACCGTCGCCTATAGACATGAGCAGTACCATGGACATAACAGAGTATACTGTTTCGCCCATGATACCCCCCATGCGTTGCCATTCCTGAGGACTTAGGTGTTATTCCTCTGCACCCAGTAAATTCACGCCATATCCCACCCTTCAAACCGAATCACAGCCATGCAAATACAACTGCCTGACCTTATAAGTTATATTACTAGCAATGGGACTTTTAGACTCCATTATTAACAATCTCTTTCCCCCTCTGATGAAGAGCTCTAACTGACTTCTCTTCTAATTTCTTCTGCTCTTCTGACAATAACAGTCCATCTATATCACACCAGAGGGAGACTTTGTACAAAAGTCGATTGCTTGGGTACCTCTGTCCCATTCGTGTTTCAACCGTGAAGCAGTTGTTTGCATACAACACAACAAATATATAGCATCAAATAGGTGCTAATTTGAAAAGCCAAACGCAGTGTAGAATGCATTGCAGGGAGTCTTTCGATGCAAATGGTTCAGGACTGTACCTTATTGGCAGTCTATGGGGGAGGCTTATGGTCAACAATGGATAGATAAGGATTGATACGAAGCTGAATGTAAGGTGTTAGTTTATTCTTTTTTTTTGTGTAGGAGCGTTCGAAACGGTTAAAACTCATTGTCATACATACATACATACATATCTGTCATGCCACTGTCTCCCATTACGGTAGGCAGAAACAATGGAACGCCAAATGCTTCGATTCAAACAAACCTCTTTCGCTTCTTCCACATTCATCAATCTTTTCATACACGCTCGCCGGTTACGGGTACTTTTGATTTGGCCCTTCTTCAGCACGTCGCCTATTTGGTCAACATACTTTAAAATTATATTCCGCAAGAAAAACCAGGTTCAATCGTGGTAAACTCAGCTTTTTTAATTTGTATAAAAAAAAATTATCCAAAAACACCGACTTCAATCGTGACAAAAGCAGTTATTTTAAAACTTTTTTTTATTGATAACAATGTAATGGTAACCCCGCCTGCGGTTACGGTAGACGCTGGCGGTACACCAGTGAGGGATGATAGGTGAGAATGAAAAGTCAGATTTTTTTTTTTATACAACTTAGAATGGCAAAGGAGCTGACGGCCCACCTGATGGAAAGTAGTAACCGTCGCCTATAGACATGAGCAAGTACTATGGACATAACAGAGTATACTGTTTCGCCCATGATACCCCCCCCCCATGCGTTGCCATTCCTGAGGACTCAGGTGTTATTCCCCTGTACCCTGTAAATTCACGCCATACCCCACCCTTTAAACCGAAACACAGCCATGCAAACACAACTGCTTCACGGTTGAAACACGAATGGGATAGAGGTACCCAAGCAATCGACTTTTGTACAAAGTCTCCCTCTGGTCAATTAGTCTATCGTGATAAATACACCTGGAATTCAGCACGATAGTTTCTCGGAAGGACCACGTGGAGGTCAACCTGGTATATTGCTAGCAATGGGACTGGTAGTCATTACAAATAATCCTTCCCCTCGCTTAAAGAACACTTAGGTCTTAAACTAAAACAAATGAAAATCGCCATTTTACATTCAAAATTTTATTATTGAACTATAATAGTAAATTCGTGTAGGCAGTAACGGTAAACCCGTAAGTATTTTGTGTTAACCCAACGACTATTTAGTTCAAAACCCTGTTTGTTACTCAGTCACAATGTAAAAACAAAACGCGATTAGCGTTTTGAACAATGATTGAAAATGATGAAACGAAACGATGAAATAAATTTGAATTTGATCGATCATTGATTATTCAATGAAAAAGTTTTTGTGTTACTGATGCATTTACGAATGATAGGATGGTACAATAATTACGTCACAGATCTCGTTGTGACGTCACAACTTCGGAAGCGTCAGAGACGGTGACGTTTCTCAAGGTAAGTAAAATATATGATTTTCATGGATGCGAATGAAAATACGTTAATTTCGAATGTTCGATGTTCATTGCCGGTTTACAGGAAGATCGCGTGTTTGGGGTCCTTCTCGTGATAGCATTTGACGTAGTTCCACGCGGTCTGGTGGGGGGTGTTGCCCTTGTTGGCGAGGCAGGCGTCGATCAGCTTCTCGACGGCGGGCTTGTCGGCTGGAAAGAAGGATGTAAGTTTAAGACAAATTATTTAAGTTGAAGTTTATTGCCCTATTAATCATAAGAGGTAACCACAAACAGGTACTAATAATATAAAGAAGAAAGATTTGTGTTTGTTTGTAATGGATAAACTCAAAAAATACTCAATCGATTTTCAAAATTCTTTGTGTAACATCATAGGCTATGTATTATTTGCAAAATTTATATCTACCTATGCGAAGCCAGGTCGGAAAGCTAGTCGATTATATTATAATAAGCTATTTCCCATGACTTTGCCCGTGTTCACAAGTATCTATGTGTGTGTGTTAGTATGTTTGTGTGTGTGTGCGTTTGTGTGTGCACGCGCGTGTGTGTACACACATAGTTAGATTATTATAACCTTCCCGTTTACCGTTTTCTTCAAATCTGTTCAGCCGTTTAACTTTAATTGAGTAATAAACATCCAAATATCTTAACAAATTTTCACATTTGTTATTGAATAACGCCATCTAGTTCTATACTAAGCAGTTTCTACTATGGATCAATTGATACATATATTTAATTTTATTTTATAAAAAAACACACAAATTAATAGAAATATTTCTATTATGCGTGCATCGAACCTGCGACTGTTGGAAGGTGAGGTGTTGTGTTACACTAACATGCTAGCTACAACAACACCAGAGGGAGACTTTGTACAAAAGTCGATTGCTTGGGTACCTCTGTCCCATTCGTGTTTCAACCGTGAAGCAGTTGTGTTTGCATGGCTGTGTTTCGATTTAAAGGGTGGGATATGGCGCGAATTTACAGGGTACAGAGAAATAACACCTGAGTCCTCAGGAATGGCAACGTATGAGGGGGTATCATTGGTGAAACAGTATACTCTGTTATGTCCATGGTAGTGCTCATGTCTATAGGCGACGGTTACCACTTTCCATCAGGTGAGCCGTCAGCTTGTTTGCCATTCTAAGTTGTATAAAAAAAAACATGCTAAAGATTTACACGAATTAAAGTCTTTACTCATACTAAAGTGCTGTTTATAAAATGATAACTTCCTTTTTAAGATAATTGCCCGTCCATTGTATGAGCGTGCAGTCGGTGATATACTATTGTGGAATTCAGTTGAATTCATCGTTTATTATTATAATGAAATTTAAGTGAATTAGGATATATACTATTGTGGAATGCAGTTGAATTCATATTGTATTATTTTATAATAAAATTTAAGTGGATTAGGACATATACTATTGTGGAATTCAGTTGAATTCACAGTGTATTATTTTATAATAAAATTTAAGTGAATTAGGAGATATACTATCGTACAATCCAGTTGAATTCATTTTTTATTTTAGTAATAAAATTTCAGTGAATTATGAGACATACTATTGTGGAATTCAGTTGAATTCATCGTTTATTATTATAATGAAATTTAAGTGAATTAGGACATATACTATCGTACAATCCAATTGAATTCATTTTTTATTTTATTAATAAAATTTCAGTGAATTATGAGACATACTATTGTGGAATTCAGTTGAATTCACAGTGTATTATTTTATATTAAAATTTAAGTGGATTAAGCGATATACTATTTTACAATCAATTTGAATTTATAGTTTATTGTTATAATAAAGTTTAAGTGAATTATAGTGTATAAAATAGTTTTTAACTATGGTAAAAGTTTTGGTCAGTATTCGTCTTAGTTTTTTTTTTTTTATTTTGGAATGGATTTTTTTTTATCTGAAAGTATATATTTACAGAAAATTTCTATGATACTATCATAGAAATTTTATCAAAACCGGTTTAGCAGTTTAGTTTTTAAATCGATGTAACTGGTTTAACCACAATTGAAGTAATTTTATTGTGGGCATTCCACATGATAAATTTTGATATTGAGATGACGTTATCATCATCAGACACACTGAAAAACACATAGGTTAATTGTAATCTCCTTTTGATGAAATTTTGATTAACCAATTTCAAAAAGTCAATTGTAATTTAATATTTTGTTTAAAAAAAATAATCGCCTTCAATTGTAGCAAAACCAGTTATTTTGATTTAAAAGCTAAACTGCTTAACCGATTCGGATAAAACTTCCACGGCATCAATCTGTAAGTATATTTTTTTTTAGATAAGATAGATATAAATACATAGATATATAATTTATTTGCATCACTTATAGTACACAAATAACATTATCTATTAGTAAATATTTAAAAAGAAATAAAACATAACATAAAAAAAAAAAAAAAAACAAAAAGAAAGTACATTAAAGAGGTAAATAGATAAAAAAAATCCAAATCGGTTTACAACTGACGGAGTTATGAATTTAGAACATATTTCTATTTTAAGTCGATTGAAAAATAATACAGCAAGTTAGCGGATGTTACCTGCGTTGGGCACCTTAGCAAGAGCAACGTCCTTCTTGAACTTGCCGTCCTTGGTCATCAGTTCGGACTTGATTAGCATGCACAGGGCATATTTCTTGAGAGGTTCGTTCTCGGTCTACGATAAAAAGAAAATGTCAAACCACAATGAAGTATATTTTATTCATTCTCGGCGTACAATAAAAAAGAAATTAAAAATAATATTAATATAAACTATATTTTAAAATCACGATCGGAAATTAATGCGATGCGATTACAGGTTAATAGTAACAACATATGTGATTTTAAATAACGCGAAAGTTTAAAACTAACTACATGAATTGGCGTGAATTTACTGGGTACAGAGCAATAACACTTGAGACCTCAGTAGTGGCAACGCATGGGGGGTATCATGGGCGAAACAATATACTCTGTTATGTCCATGGTACTGCTCATGTCTATAGGCGCCGGTTACCACTTTCCATCAGGTGGGCCGTCAGCTTGTTCGCCATTCTAAGTTGTATAAAAAAAAAAAAACATGAACTAGAAATAGTAACTTAACTATAAACTCTACTTTAATTAGATTATTCTCTGCAAAAAAAAAAATTGCGCAAAATTAATATTAACTACTAGATAAAATTTTATTATTTTATTAAAAAAAAAAAAAAAAAACATATGTAATATATGATCTTACTACAAAAAAATACATACAGTCGCAGAGAAAGTTCTATAGGAACAAACAAGGAGTCTCCTCACCTTGTAATCACCAGTTTTGAGTTTGTTCACTAATTGTTCATCGGGTTTTGTCTCCGCGAGGCACTCGCTCCTGTGCTTCTTCAGTTTCTCCTTCTGCTCATCCGTCAGGGCCTGGATTGAAGATAGAAACTAGCATAATAATAATGACAAATACTTTACTGGACACAAAAGAGATGTATACAAGAAGTATTTATACAGAATGTGCATATACAAAAGGCGGCCTTATCAATAAAAGCAATCTCTTACAGACAACCTGGCATGAATAGTAGATAAGTACTCGAAAGGTAGATGGCTCAAATCAGGCACAGTAAATCACAAAAAAGTAACCAAATAAAATACATACTATTCTAAATAACATTTATTTAAAAATAAGACTAAATTACATATGTATGTGTATTATATTATGTTATGTATATTATACCCGTTAAATGTCCACTGCTGAACATAGGCTTCCTCCATTAAGGGGGGTTTTATCAGTAGTTGCCATACTTGGCAATTGAATTGGCAACCGCAGTTACACTTTAGTGATGTTTTAAGAGGGCAATGCTACCTATCGCTCGATCATTCATAATCATCATCATCATCATTTCAGCCATTATCCGTTCACTGCTGGACGCCTCCCCCTCATAGACTGCCATAAAGAATGGTCCCGAGCCACCCGGATCCCCGCCAGGAATAGCAAAGCCACCGGAGACCGGAGGCCGTTTTTACCATTGGGGAGTTTTGACAGTAGTTGCCACGCTTGGCAGTCAAGTTGGCAACCGCAGTTAGACTTTGGTCATGTTTTAATAAGAGCGCTGTTGCCCATCATTGGGCCATTAAGTTCTCTAAGTCGCCTCTTACGACACTCACGTAAAAGGAAGGGGCACCACTATGCCGAGACCATAGAGCAAATAAATAAGGTAGTTAGAGACATTTATCAGAATATTACTGTATAAAAAATTATCACTAGAGCTGCCCATATTCAGCCGAGCATGTTCGAACTCAGCATAACGTCGAGACAATTGCAATAGTTTTGTTTGTTAACGGAATTTTCCATTGACTGGAGTGTTAAAATTCATTATAAATATATACAAGCTGACAGTACACCTGATGGAAAGTGGAATCATACAGAATACACTGTGACGCCATTGTACTCCTCACGCGTTGCTATTCCTGAGGACTAATATGTTATATTTTCATATCTTGCAATTACACTACCATTTCTCACCATACAAATGGAAAAACAACCATTTCATGGTAAAAATCCGGGTATGGCAGTCGTTCCCGTGCAGACGACTTTTGTACGAAGTTTTATTCTGATGAATGGTAGACTAGGATAGAATCCTCATTCGTGTTTCAACCGTAAAGCAGTTGTGTTTGCATGGCTGTGTTTCGGTTTGAAGGGTGGGATATGGCGTGAATTTACAGGGTACAGAGGAATAACACCTGAGTCCTCAGGAATAGCAACCCATGGGGGGTTTCATGGGCGAAACAGTATACTCTGTTATGTCCATGGTACTGCTCATGTCTATAGGCGACGGTTACCACTTTCCATCAGGTGGGCCGTCGGCTTGTTTGCCATTCTAAGTTGTATAAAAAAAAAAAGAATAATAATGCTTGCCTCATGGTTAACTGGTAGAGAACGCCATTAAGCGATAAGTCCGCCTTATGTACATTTACTTATATACTTTTGCATTAAAGTTTAAATAAATAAAATAAATAAATAATTAATAAACAATCTCACCTGAGCCAATACAACGCAGACGGCGAATACAATGAAAGCTTTCATGTTGACAGCTCAAGGGCCACAATATGACGGACAGACACAACGACCTGTATATATACATGGGGGAATGGCCGCCGGGATATGGCGGGATCGGGAGTGGAAGGTGTCGTAAACATTTGCAAGTCAAAAGTCGATATTATTAATTAAATACTAAATTTTAAATGTAGAAAAGTCCTTTTTGTTTATCATTTCTCGGCTTTGTTATAATAAAAAAATTGTCCTCTGTATACAAAAAATTTTATAATGTAATCCATTCCTTAAAACTGGTGTTTATTTATTTTATTTACTTATTTATTTATTTATTTAAGGCAAACTAACAGCTAAAATAATAAATAATTATATACTTAAATAGTAATTTAGTAGCCACTATTTGCACAAAATAAAATTCAAGTAAACGAAACACAAAACTAGACAATACTAAATTAAACAAAATTAAACAAACAAATACTATTGAAAACCACAGCAACATTGTCAATAATAATGCTCAGAAGTTAATAAAACATATTTTCAGAAAAACATTATATGAAAATAATACCTGTATAACCATTTAAAAAAAATTGATAATAATTTAGAATATATAATAATAATTAGTGTTAATAGTCATTAATAGGGTTTTAAACTTTTTTCCTAGAAAACATTTTTATATTAACAAAAAAAAAACTAAAGATTGTATCCCATGAATTTGCAAGCTACTTATTATTATTAACCATCCCATGTACCACATTTACAGCAAAAATAATTTCATTTCATTTCATTTCACAAAATAAAATTAATTTCAATTGTAACAAAACCAGTTACTTAGTATCATATCAATAAAAAAATATTCGTGACATTTTTTTTTTTGAATCATAAACTTTTATTTAAGTTATATTTCAACAAAGATGTAGCATTTATAATTACTACAGAGTTTAAATAGCTTATTATACCCATATGCTTACATGGTAATGCTAGATTTGACTGACTTTGACTTCCAAACAAGGTAATGCTAGATTTGACTGAATGTTAGGTACTTAGGGTATTTTTTTTTATACAACTTAGAATGGTAAACAAGCTGACGGCCCACCTGATGGAAAGTGGTAACCGTCATCTATAGACATGAGCAGTACCATGGACATAACACAGGTACTGTTTCGCCCATGATACCTCCCATGCGTTGCCATTCCTGAGGACGCAGGTGTTATTCCTCTGTACCCTGTAAATTCATGCCATATCCCACCCTTCAAACCGAAACACAGCCATGCAAACACAGCTGCTTCACGGTAAAAATACGAATGGAACAGAGGTACCCAAGCAATCGACTTTTGTACAAAGTCTCCCTCTGGTAAAATATACATACTGTGATATGTGGTGAATATGAAATTGTAACCCTAGCTGTGCTATCAGTATACATAAGAGGGCATCAGGAAGAGATCATAAGTGATGAAAGCTGGTCAGTTAGGGCATTGTGATGAATTCAACAAGAATTAACCATGATGGTTTCCAGGGGAATCGCGTGGAGGTCAACCTGATAGGGTATATTGCTGGCAATGAGGCTGTTAGAGCCCATTATTTACAATTCCTTTTCCCTTTCTATAAGGATTAACTGGTATACAATCATCATTTTCCTACCCTTATCCCAATTATTATTTGGGGTCGGCGTAATATGCTTTTTAGCCATATTCAAAACTATAAGCCAAAAAGATTCGGCTTATAGTTTTACGACCGGCCGCCTGCCTGACGTCAACCCTCTTTGGGAGTAATAACTAGTAATAATAATAACTAATATTAACTGGTATACAATATTGGTATAAATTTCCAAATGTTGCCAACACCTGTTCGGCCTGCGTAGGTCGGTCTGGAAAGATCCGGCCGCGACTCGCGGCGTCTCCCTCTTTTATTATGACTGACACACTACTTGATTTTTAAATTGTACTAACGACATAACCTGGCTTTGCACGGGTAGATAGATATGTTATCTATTTTTTTTTTTTTAATAAAATACAGTCCATGTTACTCGCCTAATAGTATATAGCTTTCTATAGGTGAAAGAATTTTAAAATATGTCAAGTATTTTTTTTAGTAAATAAATATACAACTTTTTTTCTTTTTATAATATAAATTTTGACTAATTTTTACCTGCGATATTGTACGTATGATTGGAATTAAAACCAATATTATAAACTATTTTAAGAAAATGTATCAATTTTTTTTTTATTTTTCCTTTATTCAATAATGCACCGCCTACTTATTACATGATTTGCCCTATCCACAGAAAGGTTGACTGGTAGAGAATACCGTCTGGTGTTAAGTCCAGCATCAGCACCACGTGTACATAAAATTTTACTATTCATTAAAGCTTAAATAAATAAAAATAAAATAAAATAAAACACACTAAATTTTAACTTCGTTCATCAAAAATATATCTACGAAATCCTTCTCCAATTTGGTGCAATAGTTTTTGCTTGATGCCTATACAATATACAAACTGGGAGACAAATTAAAAAAAAATGGTATTAGCCTCTATTACTCACAGTAAGATACCTTATTACATTAATAATAAAAAGAAATATATATATATATATATATATATATATATATATACACACCGGGTCAGCTAGCTATATTAATTGTCTACAACGCTTTATTCCACTTTCTATCAATGATAACTACATTCCCACACAGTTATAATGTTAGCTATTTTTTTTTTTTATTAGATTAAAAAATATTTTCTACAAACAATGTATGGTAACACAATAACACAATGTATGGTAGTACAATGGTAAAACAACGTTCGCCGGGTCAGCTAATAATATTATAAACATCATAAGGTTGCCTGCAAGAGATCTCTCTTAGCGATAAGGTCGCCCATTGTTTTCTCATTGTGATTATTTCTTGTAATTATTTATATTTATAATAAGTTTACTATTGTAATCTTTTGGAGGAAACAATAAAGAGTATCTATCTATCTATCTATATATCTATCTATCATAATATCAGTCGTTAACTGTTCACTGCTGAACATAGGCCTCCCCCAATTAAGGGGTTTTGCCAGTAGTTGCCGCGCTTGGCAGGCGGATTGGCAACCGCAGTTATATTTTGGTGATGTTTTAAGAGGACGCTGCTGCTCATCCCTCGACCATTGTTACCTTAGTCGCCTCTTATATATAATTAATAATAATATATAATTAATTCTTATTATATATATATATAAATTAGAAGGTTTTTTTTTATACAACTTAGAATGGCAAACAAGCTGACGGCCCACCTGATGGAAAGTGGTAACCGTCGCCTATAGACATGAGCAGTATCCTCCATGCGTTGTCATTCCTGAGGACTCAGGTGTTATTCCTCTGTACCCAGTAAATTCACGCCATATCCCTTCCTAACCCTTCAAACCGAAACACAGCCATGCAAACACACCTGCTTCATGGTAGAAACACGAATGGGACAGAGGTACCCAAGCAATCGACTTTTGTACAAAGTCTCCCTCTGGTAAATCGAATACGAGTATATATAGAATATCGAAGATTTATTTTAGGTAATTATATTTTTAATATGCATTTGTTTTACGCGATACACGATACTTACCTTATTTTAGTTTCTCTTATACTTTCAGATTTGTCCTGTAGAAATTTTATCAAAATCGATTTAGTAGTTTAGTTTATAAATAAATATTACGAGTTTTGCCATAACTGAAGCCGGTACTTTTGTGGAGGACAGTATTAAATTATTATTGTTTTGTAAAAGTATTTAATAGGTTTTTCTCAAAAAATCCTATAGTGTGTCACATTCTATCGATCCAACTGATTGATAAATTGCGAGTTAACAATCTAACAACATAATGCAATAACCGTTCGGCTCTGACCACTGACATCATTGATTTATTGTTGTCCGTTGACCCTTGTGGCCTCTATTAGTATTATCATGTTATTATGGACTTTTTGAGTCAACAAGAATTTTCTCATGATCTTCTTGTTTTGTACAACAACAACAAATAAACAAGAAAAATTTTAAGAAGTTCCTGTGAAGAATATGTTTCTAAATTATATGTTATTACAAACATTTTCAATCAACAAGATCCTTTCTCATGATTTTTTTACAAAACAACAACAAGTAAATAAATAAATAATTGTAAGAATTGCCTGTTAAGAAAGCTGTTTTCAATGTAATTTTACTAAGAACTCTTTGAATAAACAAGATATTTTCTTACAATACAACAACAAGTAAATCATTAGCATGTTATTATAAACTTCTTAAATCGACAAGAATTTTCTCATGATTTTCTTACAAATATTTTCAACAAGTAAATAAAAATAATTGAAAAAAAATTATGTTAAGAATGCTGTTTTCATTGTCATTTTATTTCGGACTTTTTGAATGATAAAGATATTTTCTTACAAAACAACAATAAGTAAATCATTACCACCTTATTATAAACTTTATAATAAACAAGAAATAGTAATATTTATAAATTTCTAAGAATAATCTGTTGTCTTTACCAAGTTATCATGGACTTCTTAAATTGACAATAATTTTCTCATAAGAGACAAAACAACAACAAGTAAACAAGAAAAATTGTAAGAAATTCCTGAGAAAAAATAATTGTTGTTATCATGTTATATGGACTACTGTAATAAACAAAAAACAGTAAATATTGTATAACAAATCTGAGAAGAATCATTTGCATGTTATTAAGGACTTAAAAAAAATTGTAAAAATATTTTTTCTTACAAATGAAAAAATTGTAAAAAAAATTGTGAGGAAAATTACAATACTTCTTTTTATGATGTTGATGAGTCCTAACCGTTTTCGGTCACGGCGACCACATTGACTATACTATTTTATTCATCATCATCATCACCATACCAGCCGTTATCTGTCCAGTGCTGAACATAGCCCTCCCCCATAGATTGTCATAAGGAACGGTCCTGAGCCACCTACCTGTATCCACTAACTCCCTGCAATGCATTTGAAGTTGTCACTCCATCTAGCGTTGGATTATTATTAGTATTAATAGTTCTTTTTATAAACTATTATTAAAGACACTTATACTGATGTAAATTGTATAAATTATACTAGCAATATAATTCATACAATTTAATTAAATATATAAGTGCTAAATCCAACCTGCGAATATAAAGAAGAAAACAAATTTAATAGAAGATACTGTGCCTCTCACGACATTCTCCATTCATGAGGTTTCTTAAAGTTTTTCTAAAGACATTAAACATCCAAACATAAACAATCAAACTTATATATATATATATATATATATATATAGAAAAACAAACAAAAAAATTAACCTGGGACAGAACAAAATAAAATACGACTTCCCCATAGAAGTTGATAGACAAACAAAACATTTAAATCCAGTTATTTAATATACATATGTATCATATCCTTTGTCTCTTATGTTCCAGATCGCAGTCAATAAAGACGAAACTTTAACCTTGGATATGTCATTACCAGTTCATACCAAGTTATCTATGCAGCAAAAACTAGTCTTTTATAACCAGTTAGTTCTATAAGTAGTCACAAGTAGACAACGTAAAATTCAAAATTTATAGGCAATCATTTTTATTTCGTTACTCTGTTTACCAGAGAGAGACTTTGTACAAAAGTCGTTTGCTTGGACACCTCTGTCTCATTCATATTTCAACCGTGAATCAGTTGTCTTTGCATGGCTGTGCTTCAGTTTGAAGGGTGGGATATGGCAGTGAATTTACAGGGTACAGAGGAATAACACCTGAGCCCTAAGGAATAGCAACGTATGGGGGTATCATAGGCGAAACAGTAAACTCTGTTATGTAAATGGTACTGTTCATGTCTATAGACGACGGTTACCACTTTCCATCAGATGGGCCGTCAGCTTGTTTGCCATTGTAAGTTACATAAAAAGAAAACAAATATTGATTCATAATTGTGAGTACCGAATAATGAAACGCACAAATACAAATATAAATCGATATTACAACTGAGTATGCAAAGCAGGTTTTACTTGGCATGCACGTTTTTTGGCCAAATAAACAAAATGCGTAGACGCATTTTGTTTATTTTACAATAGATTGTAATTTAAGGTTCGAATAAATATCAAAGTGGATTCTGTATAATATTAATGTTGGTATTAAAGACAGTTGAAACAAAAAACAATAATATAATACTTTATATATAGAGTATCGAGTCTCAAAAATGGGTCAACTTTTTGTCAGCTAATTGTCAAATACTGACAAAATAAAATGAGTCAGCTAAGACTCGTTTTTTTTTTTGTCAGTATTCATTATACTTACGAATACATTATATCTTGGTGTATAATATTTAATAAATAAAATTAGTATTTACGCATTAAAAAGATGCAGAAATTATAAGGCAAAATAAATGTAGAAGTTTCAAAGGAATCACTTATAACTATTTATGACGCAAAATTGTATAAAAGTTGACCTGCTTTTCTCGAAGCATAGGTATAATACCTACATATGTGGGTAATTTTTGTGGCACAGTGGTATGTATGTTGTTTTATGTAATATGTATATATATATGTTGTTAGTCCTGGGTTCAATTGGACGGTCAGTTTAGGAAAATAACTTTTGTATAATAAATTGGATTGGGTTTGGATGTTCTGAGTTGCACTCTTAGATATTAATCGTCTGGTATACCATAACACAGGTTTCCAACAGTTCACTTCTTTGCCTTGTCCACTTGTAAATAGAAAAAACAAATATACCTACATAATTTCAAAGGACATTAAAAATTAGAGAAAGAAGTAAAGAACAGAAAGACACACCACGCCAACTAGTTTATTCGACTAATAAATACATCAATTCAATTCAAGAGATCGCTACTTAGAGATAAGTTCTAATGAAAGACATTATAATGGGTATTGTTGCCTCTTTATTTTGCTTTTTGCAATTTATTATATATTTGTATATAAGTAATTTATTATTTTTTGTCTCAATATTGTTAATCTTCGTGAATCATTCTTTGAAGGGTTAAAAAAGTATTTAAATAAAGAGTTTTCACCCGTTCTTTCATTCATACAATTATCTTAAAAAGTCGATGAAAACGTTGCAAGCCTTATAAATATTGGCATGTCTTGGCAGTGTTAAAGACATGCGCTGAACTATTTAACTTTAATATAAATATACTAAATACACGTAAATACAAGTCGCGCAAACACGTGCTGTCATTTCTCAAAATGTAAACAATGGTGTTTTTAAAAATGATTTTAAAATCAGTTGAGACACTTTGAAAGAGTTTAAAACATGGATTATAGATAGCAAGATCTTTGTACAACACGTGAGTAGAAATATTTATTTAAGAAATAAACATAATAATAAATACACAATATAATTTCTAAACTACATATATGTATAAAAATGTGTATATGTCTTGATTAAATGTATAGCTAAACTTTGTTAATTTTGATGTAAGCAGAAGAATGCCCATGACTTCACGACACAGGGAAACCTAGGATGAAGACGTGGGAACAAACATGTCACATGTCTTTTTGGTTCCATTAAATATACATTATTATATTATAATTATTTTTTATGAATATATTTTAATTACTGATATTATTATTAATTTATGAACATGAATCTAGTAAATAAACCGTCAACAATTTTTTCGATTTAATTCTACAATATTAAACAGTCATTTCTTTTTCCTCAGGAATTTTGTAGTAAAAATGAATGTATTAAAATATTAATATTGTAATATAAAGTATATAATAATATATAGTATAATTATCGTAATTAATTAACTATTTTAATTATTAAAACAAACACAATACTATAAAACAAAGGCTCTGAATTTACAATATTTAAAGTAAATAAAATTATATTATTACATAATTTGAGTTTATAATTTATCATCTGGCTAAACTACTATATATATTTAACACAGTTTATAATAAATCGTATTTATTAAACTTATAATAAATTGCGGTAAATGTAAAAAAAACTAACTTCAAGTCGATACCAAAAATTCCGCATTGCGCAGTCCAACAACTGACTAACTTCACATTAGTTGTCTCAATAAGGCTGTGGTTTATTGTACGTCAGAGATTATTATCAACAAATTCTATGATAATGCGCTAAAATTGTTACCGTTTACTATTGCAAAATATAGATTATGGGTTAATAAATGTATGGTGAAAAAGGATAACATTACACGACAGTCGTAAATTAAAGGACATTTGTTTTCGTCGGTAAGTCTCAGATGTCCTTTGCATTATATTTGTTAATTTTCTCATATTTTATTATATTTAATTAATATTCTTATTTATAATATTAAATTAAATAATAAATAAGAATATTTGCAAGTTTATTATTAATAATTTAGTTTAAAATTAGAGTTAATATATAATAAATTTTTACTTAAAAATATAAATAAAAATTATTGTATACAATAACATTTTTAACAAGTTTTAATATTTGGTAAATATGTATATTTGCTAAATATGTATGTATATATGTTCCTCGATATGTTCAATTACAGTCTATATTCATTGTTTATCATTAAGTACTTAAAATATGTGATCTTTTTTATGTAATTTGTCTGTTTATTGACATTTTGTATTGAAGGTTAATTCAGGTTCATAAGATTTATGTATATTATTTAAGCTACTTTATCTCTAATTTTTTTTGTCAATATTCATGTCATTCAATACCTAGGTAGGTACGTTATTTTTAGAACATATGTACTGCGTAGTGCAAATATGTTAATTTATAAATAAAACAATATCATATCAATTAAATAAAGTGCATGCACTTATAATACGAAAAGCATAATTAAAAAGAAACATGGGAATGTAAATTACACGTTATATTAGTGTCACCTCGGTTGTTGACATCGGTGAATTATTAAAAAAATAGCACATTCGGGGTTGCCCGCACTGCGACCAATCGATCGTGTCACCCGCGCATGCGCAAACCAACTACCCATAAGTCAGTTTTAAAACGACACGGATCACCTTAGGTACCCAAGATGCCGAAGCCGACGCCTGTCGAGGATCTGATCATTCCTCCGCAAGATCAAAAAATATGTGGGACTATATGTGTATGTCAGATGACAGCTGTGCTGAGTGCCGTCGCCATTGTGTACCTGACAGTCGCCATTTATATGCCGTACTCCAGAGCTATTAGTTCAGGCATAGACCCTGTACCGATTATGTGTACCACGACACGAGCAGTCAACAAAGACAATTGCGATTGGGGATCATGTGGTGAATGGTGTCTCAGCAAGACCTCTGGTGCTTGCATACAGATCTATGTTAACGTCAGAAAGAATGGATCATCTTTACTTCTTTCCGAATGTGGGAGTGCTGCCAATAAAACTTGCTACGGTATAGACCAAGAGAATGCAAAAAAATATCACTGCATTCGAGATGAATGTAGAAATTTAACTGGCACTTTTAACTGTACTGAAGGCAAATGTATAAACATTACTGATGCCTTTGAATGCGCTTTCAGAGAAACCGATCCACCTTTAAAATGTTCCGGTAGAAGAGGTAAAATAACATGTATAGACGTCCATGGCCTGTTTTCATGTAACAGAGGCACTTGTAGAAAAATTAGAACACCTTATAATTGTGATCGTCGATGCGTCGATATTCCAACCCGCAACAAAAATGTGATTGTGTTAAGCGGAGACAGAGTGTTTTTAGCTAGATGTTCTAAATTAGCCCAAGAAGATGGTGGCAGTGTTGTGTGGACGGATTCTGGGGAGGAAGTTTTAATGTTGTCATGTCATGCAGTTCATAATGGTACATCTGGAGTAGTCGCTATTGATTGCATAAATGCGGCATTACTACCTCGAACTGAGATTTCGGATTTGACGAACTTTACTTACCTCCAATATTTATATACTACAAGGGCGGTTTCAAATCGACTTATTGCACCATCAGAAGTAGAACTCACAATAGCTAATGATAGCCGTTTAATGATTAATTTAGAAGGTTGCGTCAATACTTTAGCTGACGAATGTAAAGAATTTCTAAAGGATTATGGAAGAGACGGTACAGATCACAATGCAAAGGCAAGGTTCCCTTGCTTTTACACAGAAAATGATCCTGAAACAGTTGTAGCTAGATTTGATTTAGATGCCACGTACCGTCAGTTTATTGTAGCTCTGATTCTACCTACAGTTTTAGTTTGTGTGTCGTGTGTAACATTGTTGTTATGTCAAAAGACAATAGAAGTTGGTGACGATGCTAAGATGAGATTCAAAAAGTTCAAGAACGGCGGTGGTCAAGCTGAAATGCAAATGTCACCAAATGATCCTGTTTCTCCACTCTGAGATCAGTCACGTGAGATATTATATAAATTTATTATATTTAGGGCACTATTCACACAAATGACTTAAATTATATTTATTTTAATGGCAAATATTTTTAAGTTATATTTTATGATCTAAAGTACTACATAATATTATTATATTTTTATTGTTATTTCTATAAACGGCTCGTGTAACCTTGATCTTTTGACCTTAGACATTTTGTGTCAATAACTTATTACTGCTAAATCAAATACTTAATAAATTTTATATTTCTTTTTAATTTAAATCATAATAATATTGAATGTAATGTCAGTCATAAATAGGTGTTATCAACTATCCATTCATATTTTATCTAATAAGTATTTTAATACGGAGAAATCAGTACTTAGAAATTCCACTGACTTTTATATACATATGCAGCAATCAAATATTATATGTAAATGCATTGAAATGTCAAATTGTTAATGATTAACTTGTGGTTATGTTTTCTGTTACAGGCGTTCCCCTCCTATGTGAGGGTCCGACTAGTTCACTAAGAGACGACTAAATATTTGCAATGCTTTCTACTGGCTGAAATTATCACAATGTCTTCAATGAGCAGATCTCGGGGGAGCCTCTCCCCGGCCCCGTCAGAAAGATCCACATTGCCTATGGGTGCATCTGCGGAGCCAGGAAGCCCTGAATTTAAACCATTGGAACCAACTAGAGAAGAGTTACTAGCGCACTTTTTCGAAAGATTCAAGTTCTATACATCGTTATGCCTTGGGACATCAGCTATTCTTGCAGTATTCGCTTTCCTTTTTCTAATCCCGTTTGTCGTAGAGCCAGCTATACAAACGATTTTAGCAGAATTCGTCCCGGAAGCTGGAATCTGTGCAGTATCAGAACATGTCCATGCAGAAACACTTACTAATTGTACATGGGCATCGTGCAGAGAAGGTTGCACCACTGCACATACTAAATGCCATAAGATACGAGTTAATTTAGCTAGAAAACCTTTTGTAGAAAATGCACCAGTTCCTACTGAGTGGGATGAAACAGATCTAAAATTTCTTATCAATCCAGAAGGTTGTGGATATCCACCAAAAGTGAACTGTTCGGTATTTGCTAGCGAATATGCTGGAGCTAAAGCGCCGAAAATTTTTCCATGTTACTATAGTTTGACAAGACCCGATCTAGTTGTTGCGAGGTATTCTTGGGATACAACTGTACGTGGTTTAGTTCTCGCACTCGTATTACCTACGGCGGTCTTCGTGTTCAGTTTGAGTGTACTCGCATATTGGCACTGTCGTTGCTGTGAGAGAGCATGCAATAGACGAGTACACGCCGAATCGTTTGCCAGCAAAGAGGAGTAAGTATTCATTCTTCTTATGTTTTTTTTTTCTAGCTTAGTTCTATTATTAATTTGATGTTTATAGAAGCATTTATTTTTTAATATTTTTATAGGTTTAGTTCCTCCAGCTCGTGTTATTGTAGACATATATTATTTCTTTTTAGGTGATTCATGTATTTAAATACTGGACTTTCAGGCTCGATAGCGATTTCAAGTTTGGCGATGGAAAGTCTTAGTTGCCGTAGTTGCCAACTAGTAATTATATACAAGTACGTTTCATGTTGAAATTGCACTGTGGCGAGTGTTAATACCGAACTATCTATTTCATGAATAATGAAATCACTGTATCCGTCGTTCAAACTTTCCGCTTGTGCCTTTTATTCGCTATGATCTGAAAAATGCTAGAAATTAATTGATGATAATGTATTCATTATTTATTTATCTCTAACGTCTTCTATTTTTATTGCATGTATTAACAGCTTGTAAAAACTATTAGAATTCCTATTTGTCGTTGTTTATTTTTATTAATACAATATTTTCGTGAATACAAGGCAATAAAGCATACTAATCACTAGTCTTATCATTAGATCTATGAAGCAATTAGATAGCACTATAAATAATAATGACTTGCAATAAATAGTCTATAGTATAGTAAGCACAAGACCTTCGAGTATTTTCTCAATGTTTACTATTAACTTACTTTTAACTTAGTTTTGAGAAAATTACCCTCTTTCGATTAGATTTCTAGTTATTTTTGTTGTGTTTAAAAACCATTTGTCTATTTAAGGCTTTATAAAATTTTAATCTAATTCAGAAATAGATCAATAGCTTAGTAGAATATATGTATATATATAGGTATGATATAAGAATAGTTTTTTTTTAATAAATACATTAATATCAATGTAACGAGATTTATAATTTTAAATGAATGAAGAGTTAATGCAATTAACATAATAAAATAAACACTCTACATTTAATGTTAGTGTAATTTAATTGTGAATTTAATGAAATATAAATACTTAAGATGAAAAGAATACAAAAAATAAAGCCTAATTACAAATACATTTGGTACGTAATAAGTATTAAATTTTTATAAGTATATAAGTGTAGGTATATATATGTGGTTATATATTATATCTTTTATGATATTTTATGTTTATAAAAATTAATAGGCATATAATTATAATGAATGAGCTTGAAGCTACTCAGCTAGGCTGTGGTGAAATTGAAATTTTTATTACAAGTATTTTACAAGTATTATCTAATTCAATTCATACTATTAATAATTCTGTCGACTTTATATACTCGTTAACTCTTAATAACTTTATCTTTACGCTTCTAACAACCTGGATCAACTCTTGTTGAAATACTTCAATGTACTATTTTATCCATATTCTTAAATACTAATATATTAATAATTTTATTGTCAAAAATTTTGAAATTATACATTATGAGTAACTGTAAGAAAACTGAATTGACCTACCCATATTTTTGAGAATAATCTACTATGTAGTTACAAGACCATCTAGGACCTTTCATCATAAATGGCCATTACTCATTCCGGATATCCCGGATGGTCCGGAACTAGTCGAGCATCCTCAATAAAAATACACATAAGTAAATCTGGCTTTTCTTGCAGTTAAAATATTAGCAATTTTATGCTTTATTACCATATTCATGTTTAATCATAACCAATATGTTTCTTTTTTTATTACAGTAGCAAACTCCTCTGCGAATTAGATGATGACCCAAGTGACGATGTCTTCTGACGCCGAGCAACAGCCGCCCGCCGTCGTGCCTCCCCCCGTACTGAAGGCTATACGCAGCTGTAAATTTGCGTAAATGTCGCATAATAACTGCGTAAACGCTACGTTAAAACAGCGTAAATGCCGCAAATGCTATCTTAAGCTTTAAACTTTGACGATCATTCATTACATTTGCCCTTATATTTGTAGTTTAAGAGAATTTTAGTTGCTTTCATAGCAGCTAATGATTTAAAACGTAATTTTTTTTATTTATTACTAAAATAAATAAAGTCCATTATTCAGTTTTCATTTTTGTATGTAGCTAAAATATTTTTTACTCATATAATATGTATAATAATTCTAATTCTATCATTATAATTTATTAGTAATCATGACTTATAATAGTACAATGGGGGGACAAATAAAAAAGATCAGTATTATTTATAACATTTTGGCGGGCAGCGAGGCTTATTGCTTAAAATTTTAAGAAAATGTGGTTCAAAAATATATAAAAAAAAGCGTCTCTTTGTTCTAAATTATGAGCTATGTCGGTTAGATGATAAGTTCACATTATTTTGCTTCTGGAAATGTGTGGAATTTCCGGGTTTTGTACAAATTTTAGTGTATAAGATAATTATGAAATACAATAATTTATTCTAATGATAATGATAAATTGTAATTATAGGTATAATATTTTTCCAAAAGTATTTCTCACGTGTTTGAGCTTATTTGCATGAAATATTGTCTCCGAATGTGGTATTTAATATAGTTGATTATAAAAGTAAATAGGTACTTCCACGCGTTACTTACACAAGATTACTTAAAGGGCTTTCCTTTCTAAGAATTGCAAGTATACTCAAATTGCGATTTTCTGTTAAATTTAATATTAGTTATGTATTTATCAGTTTCCATAATAAGATGTTACTCCAAAATCTATTCTTAACTTAATATATAAAAATCTCGTATCACGATGTTCGTTTACTCTGAACTCCATATTTAACTGCTCGATCGATTTACACGAATTATTATAAATGTGTAATATTTATTCCAACTAGTGAGATAGGATAATTTTTATCCTTATAAGAAAAATAGGATCCAATATGTGGTGCAAAACAATGCTTAATTAATCAACTTATAAGCAAAATGTAAGAACACATTTGTTTTTATTTATAAATAAAAAGCTTGAAATAATAATTAAACCTTCAAAAATAAAGCATATACCTTTTACCTGAAAGGATGACACATCCTTGAATTCCAGGTACGTTGTCCTTTAATATTAGGAACGTTCATCTTTGCATACATCATCATCATCATCATCATCATATCAGTTGTTATTTGTTCACTGTCTCCAAAGTTTGGGGGTTATCATAATATAAAAATAAATTAATAAATAAGTAGAATAGAATGAATAGATTTTGCAATATCATCAACAAAATGATGATATATAATTTTATTATTTGACAGGAAATCGTGACGATTCAATTCGAATAACGACTACTATTGAGCTTAGATAATTACTAAATTCAGAATCCTTTTAGCGCTAAGTTTTTATGTATTTCGACGACTCCATTCACTATATATATTTTTAGTAGTTCACACAATTGCTTTTAATATTATTTTATCTAATAATATAATTAATTACTTATGTAAAATAAAATTTAAAAAATTATTAAAATTACAAAATAATCGTACTGTATTCAATTTAATTATATAGGTTTTAAATTATATTTAATTAAAAAATTACTTCTAAAATTTAAGTAAAAACTTAAATTTTAAAGGTAAAATAAAAAAATATTATATTATAAAAATATAATTTCTCTTTTTGCTGAGCTAGCTTTTTTATGAATAACATTTACTTTAATTATGTATTATTAAAACTAAGAGCTAAAGGGATATGAGAATTTTGTAATATATTTTTTACAATTATTTTAAGCGCCTGTGTCCTTGCTATGATTTGATTGTTTATTACAGAATTATATAAATAATAATTACACTTCTACTAAATCAAGTAATAAATAGTAATTATCGTAAAATATGTCATTATTATCCAAATGTCAAGAAATTTTAATTATTAACAAACAAGATTTATATGTAATTTATATTTATTTTATTTCAACTTGATACTTTAAAAAAATATATTTATAGTAATTCTGTTATAATTTTTTTAAAATATTATGATAAATAAAATTTTCGAAGCTTAATACCAAAGGCATATAAAAATAGTTCAGTAAAATCTGTAATCTGAAATTTTATTACAAAAATCCATTTTAATAATAATAATAATTTTAATAATTATTTACGTAAATGAAAATGAAGATTCTACTGTTTTTTCAGTGATTTAAACAAATTGAGGTATTCAGATAACTTTTCCTTGTTTATAAAATTTTATTATGTTTTTCTAGCATATAATTATTTGTGAAAATTATATTCATCCCCAATTCTATTCTTACGAGTACAATATTTAATATCAGTACTGCCTTCAATATTTTATATTATTATTATAATAATCTGCCATACTTTTGTGATATTAGCGCTTATTGTGTAATATACAAATTATATTTATCATGTGTAAAAATATAAATTATAATGTATAAAAAATGTAATGTTATTCTGAAAATTAAATATATATAAATAATTAATGAATAATTTAAATGTTTTACATTGCGTTCTCAAAAAAAAAATACATTTTCTTAACTTATTTATTTTCATTATAAAGTTTTCTTTTTTATTTTCAATCATGCACTTACATGTCATGCTAGTAATCATAAAAAATAATATAAATACAGTTTGTCAATATATTATAACATTATGGCATGATAATGTAATTGCTTAAAACATATATATGAGTACAACGTAGGTTTCCAAAGAGTATATACAATTAAAGCAGTTTAAATAAAAAAATCTTTTTTCTACGTTATAATAATTTTTGTAATATATTTATATATATTAATTAAAAATCAGCAGCTATTTGTATAATTTTATAATGTAATTTAATATTTATGCGTAAAATTCATAAATAAATGTAAAGTTAACGGATATCAAAATGCAGATAAACTTTATAATTTTATTAAACTACTATTATTTAAATAATTTATAATATAATGAACAAAATATTTAATAAAGATGAGTAGGAGTTGTTTTAATATTAATTTGTTTATATATATAATAATTCAGTTTAATTCATCACAATCAGCCAACTGCAGTCCACTGTTGGACAAGTCATAGCACGCTACTGAGCACATCATCAGTTAGGTTATTATAGTCAAATAATATGAATAAGAACATTTTATTAGTTTTGATTATCTTTCTTATATTTTTTTAATATTTACAAACAAATACTATCTTTATAAATATTTAAATAATATTTACTAATTAATAAATTAAATACTTATTACAATAATTGAAAAAAGTATATTATCCTTATTACAATAATAATAATTAATACTTGAAAAGAACGTTTGTAAATTGTAATTGTATATTTTGTTAAATAAATTAATGTTTGTTGTGAATTTAAATGTAAATAAGTGATTAATTAATCGTTTGGACTTATAATTAGAGATTATCATAGATTAGAAAAATGTCTCGGTTGTAAGTACGCAACGCATTATAAGCGCAAACAACACGAAGTTACAATGACAAATAAAGCTTCTTTTTTTCTATTTATTCTATTTATTTATACCTGGCCGTGTGGTCCCGGCATAGAATAAGCTACCCCTTACTTTCCTACGAGTTTTTTTTTTATACAACTTAGAATGGCAAACAAGCTGACGGCCCACCTGATGGAAAGTGGTAACCGTCGCCTATATTTTCGTAAAAGGCGACTAAGAGAGGGCGAGGGTTTTTTTAATGGGTGATAATGGCATGGTAACCCCACCCGCGCTATCGTTATACACCGGCGAGGCACCAGTGAAGGATTATAAGTAAGGATGAAGCAGGTCAGTTAGCCCATCGTGACGAATTCAACAAGAATTGTTCACGATGGTTTCCACTTGGAGGTCGACCTAATATTGCTAGCAATGGGGCTGTCAAACTCCATTGCTAACAATCCCTTTTTCTCCAGAGGGCGAGGGTTAGGAAGCAGCGTCCCTCTAAAAACGTCTAGATAGCCTAACTGCGGTAACCAATTCGCTTGCCAAACGTGGCAACTACTGGCAAAAATCCCAAAGGGGGGGCTTATGTCCAGCAGTGGACAGTTGAAGGCTGATATGATGATGATGATTTATACCCTAATAATAGTAGATAAGTGTTGGCCTATGTTTGTTTTTATGAATATAAAGTGCAACAAGTGTATGTAATTATAGGCTAAAATACACTAAATATATGGACTTTTCAAAAGAGCTAGATCTCAATATAGATAGTCTTTTTAAAGAGAGCTTTTTTTATATCACTAAGGTGACAAACAGGCACGTATGCCTGTTTGTGAAAGTGGGCCGTAGCCCACCTGATGATAAATCTATGATGATGATATTAATCATTAACTGTACATTGCAGAACATAGGTCTTCCCCTTGAGGAGTTTTGTCAGTAGTCGTCATGCTTGGCAGGCGGGTTGGTAACCCCAGTTAGGCTTTGGTGATATGCTTAAAAAGGAATGCTGCGAGCCATTAAATTCTTTTAATTGTCTCTTACAACATTCATGGGAAAGGAAGGGGTCGCCGATTCTAGGCCGGGATTGTATGGCAATATGTAGCCCATGAACGCCTGCAACACCAGGGGCCTGACTCTGAAGAATCCTTGAAGTACTCCGTGCAGTCTCTAGGAAGAACCTCAAAACTTAAGATTACCTTTGTTTAATAATAGAAGTACATACAGAAATGATATAATTTTGGATTCCAGTTATTCTTATTAACGATCGATACAGAGTAATAACTAAGCAAATTCAAATAAGGTAGCGGACAGTAAAGGTAGCGGGTTTAATGCCATAAGTTGGGGGGAAAGGGATTGTTAGTAATGGAGACTAAGAATCTTATTGCTAGCAATATACTCAACCAGGTCGACCTCCTCGCGGTGCTCCCTGGAAACTATGATGGTTAATTCCAGATGAATTCATCATGATGGGCTAACTGGCCTGTTTTCATTCTCATCTATTACCTTTCACCGGTGCTCCGCCAGCGTATCTCGTTAACGCAGGCGGGGTTACCATACCATTTTCACCCATAAAAAAAAATGCCATAAGTTTGCGTTTACCTGTTTGTGTGTCTGTCTGTAGCATAATATCTCCCAAACAGATAAACCAATTTTGACTCTCCATCAGGTGGGCCATCAGCTTGTTTGCCATTCTGAGTTGTATAAAAAAAAAAGAAATTTTTACAAAAGTTGTCTAAATGAGCCTTCCTTAATAAGGAGAGTTTTGCCAGTAGTTGCTACGCTTGGCAGGCAGATTGGCAACCGGAGCTAGGTTTTTACAGGAAGTTTAAGAGGGACGTACTGCCCATCCCTCCACCATAAGTTCCTTTTAGTCGCTTCTTACGACACCAACAGGAAAGGGAGAGGTGGCTCATTCTATGCCGAGACCTACACGGCGAGGGACGATGTCTGCTTGGATACATATGTTCTGTTCGTGTTTGCCGTGAAGCAGTTGTTTGCATGGTTGTGTTTCAATTTTAATATTGGTATAAAGGCATAATACCGTAGTCCTAGGGAATGGCAACGCATGAGGCTATCATGGGTGACACAGTATATTTTGTTGTGTCCATGGTACTGTTCATGCCTGTAGCCGACAGATATCACTTTCCATCAGGTGGGTTGTCAGATTGTTTGCCATTCTAAGTTGCTGATTATGATGACGATGATGATGGAAGATGAATAGCTTGAAGCGAATAGTGTTGATGAAAAGATCCAATGATCGTTCGCTTTGATTTTTTATTAATCGCTCGTCTCAACAATAAGTCAATGGTTCATGAAACAATTGCCTAGCTTTTTAAAAGAGTTGAATGAACTCCCTCGACACGGAACCTTGCGTTTCACTGCATTGCCGTAAAAGGTTTAGAGCTACATACATAATTATTTCGATGTAATTGCCTTTATTTATTTTTTTTATTTACTTAATATTATTTAAAATCTTACTCCACAAAAAAAATTTACTTTAAAAAGTCATTTTGGTTTTAAATCTAAAGTATTGAATCAATTTTGATAAATATTTCTATGAGACCAATTTGGAAGCAAATGATTTCGGATTAAAAAAAAGAATTTTTCCAAATTGATTTATCAATCACGGAGTTATGTGGTGACAAACATACAAAAATACAACTGAATAGGAAACCTTCTTTTTTTAAATCGGCTAGAAAGATACAAAAGATTTTGAACTCTTACCACTTGTATATTACCAACATAAATGAATATTTTATATTTTACTCTGTGTATGTGCTATAAAACCGTACTTTATACTTTATATGACATTTTAAACTTCTAGAATCGTCTACTGCGAGTGTCGTCATAATCTAAGGTCCCCTTGTGCCCCTTGCTTTTAACTAATTATATTTAAGTTGCATAAAAAAAATTGAATACTGATGAAAAAACGAGTCAGCTAATTTGACAATTAGCTGACAAAAAGTTGACCCGTTTTTGGGGTTCGATGCTCTATCTATGTTACCTAAGATTTTATCTCATTAGTCCATTTAGAAATAGTACCTTCATTTGTTGTTTTTACCTGAAATGCACGCATACGAAATGACGGACAAATATCTAGCTACTAATAGTAAAAAGCATTAAACTCCTTCATGCATAAAACTAATAAAAAAAAAAATTTCATTGAACGTCGTTTTCGAAGGTCTAGACTTCTCTATTAAGAACTTTATGTGCTCTCATTCAAGAGCTACCTTGACGGAATCTTTAGTTTAGATAGAAGGATACTTTTATAATAGAAAAATTCTTCAGTAAGTAAAATACTAGCTTGCTACTGCCACAGATAATATAATACTATACTAGCTACTGCAATGGGAATGAAAACTATGCAGAAGTTAATACGGCGTATAATTTTTTTTTTATATAACTTAGAATGGCAAACAAGCTGATGGCCCACCTGATGGAAAGTGGTAACCGTCGCCTATAGATATGAGCAGTACCATGGACATAACAGAGTATACTGTTTCGCCCATGATACCCCCCATGCGTTGCCATTCTTGAGGACTCAGGTGTTATTCCTCTGTACCCAGTAAATTCATAATAGTAAATTGACATTTCATATTATTATATCTGTACAATTAACGTTTAAAAATTTTACATGTTATTTTATTATATTATTACGTATTAAAAAAATGTTTTGTCATAACTTATGTAATGACTGTTGCACGTCAGTAATGACAAAATGTGTGAAACCATTATAAAACTACCATATGAGCTTATTGTACCACATTTTTGCAATAAAATTCATTCATTCATTCATTAATACAAGCCGAAACACAGCCACGTACAACACTAATGGGACGGAGGTGCCCAAGCAAACAAACAAACGACTTTTGTATAAAGTCTTCCTCTGGTAAATAGTAGTAGTTATCATTTTATTATATTTAATATTCAATAAGGCTTTTAGACCCGTCCATTAGTTACTGGATTAAAAATTAATTTACAGTAGGTCACCTACTTGGAAATAATTGGTGTCTTTATTAGGAACATGGCCTTATAATAGAAATTACGATTTTAAAAACGTCAAAAATAAACTAGGATATCTCAAGACTTTAGCACCATTATATAAACCATTAACTGTACATTTTTGATTAAAGACCTCCCCCTATTGGGAGATTTTTCCAATAGTTGCCATGTTTGGCAGGCTAGTTGGCACCTACAGTTAGGCTTTGGTGATCTTTTATGAGAGACACTGCTATCCATCCCTTGACCATGGGGGGAAGGGTTTGTTAGTAATGCGGACTACGAATCTCATCACTAGCAATATAGAGTATATTGCTAGCAATGAGATATAGAGTCAGCTCGACCTCCACGTGGTCACCCTGGAAACAATTCCAGGTGTATTCATCACGATGGGTTAACTGACCTACGTTCTCATTATAACTTATCATCTCTCACTGGTGCCCCGCCAGTGTATACCGTTAGCGCAGACGGGGTTTCCATTCCATTGTTATCCATTAAAAAAATCCCTTGATCATCAGTTCTTTTAATCGCCTTTTACGACACCCATCGGGTAAGGAAAGAGTAGTCCATTTTACCTCAAAAGTCGGGCTTCAATATTTTTGCATGAGAAAATGTAAATAATTTTTATGCACTTTTTTAACATCGTACATTGAAATTAAAGAAAAAAGAGACAGAATTAGGTCAACGCTAATAAGCATTGCCTATTCAACGAAGTGAACGTACCTGAAAGCACATAGTTACCATCAATTTGCAGTTCATACGTTTCATATGTAAAGAGGAATGGCCGTATTATTAGTATTTTTTTACATATATTTTTTACATAGACATGAGCAGTACCATACATACTGCTCATGTCTATAGGCGACGGTTACCACTTTCCATCATCATTCTAAGTTGTATAAAAAAAAATCCTTAACTTCGTTCGCGTGATCGAAATATGTTCACTCTCTGCGATAAAAGGTAGGCTATGTCTTGAATCTTGAATCCTATGTCCTTCCTCATCCTATTAAGAGCCTATATTTTTTTTATACCACAAAGGTGGCAAACAAGCAAACAGCCCGTCTGATTGTAAACGGTCCCTGTAGCCTATGGACGACTGCAACACTAAGGGTGTCACTTGCGTGTTGCCTACCCTGAAGAAACCTTAATTTAACCTCTTTGAACAGGGAAAGGGATTGTTAATAATGGAAACTAAGAATCCCATTGCTAGCAATATACCCAACCAGCCGACCTCCTCGCGGTTTCCCCTGGAAACTATCATGGTTAATTCCTGATGAATTCATCATGATGGGCTAACTGGCCTGTTTTCATTCTCATCTATCACCCTTCACTGGTGCTCCGCTAGCGTATCCTGTTACCGCAGGAGGGGTTACCATTCCATTTTCACCCTTAAAAAAAAACCTCTTTGAAGAACCCCACACTATAGTCTCTAGAGAAAAGACACTTCCTCATTACAGTTGATTTAACTTCACCCTGTACTTGTGAGTATTATGATTGATTACTAATCATGATTGATTCGACCTGTCAAAGTAATTTACCGATTTGGAATCAGTACTTTATTTACTTTTATTATAAAAATTGTTATCGAACATTTACCACTCGGACAATTATTTTATATCATTCCTGTGACAGCTTGATAGACAAATTTCATATATTAACAAGCTAGATTTTTAATTAACTAGCTGTTTTTCGTAATAAACGCGTGAATTCTAAAGGTTAAGTTTTAAATGAAATGAAATGAATTTATTTTGCTAGAATGTAGGTAGTTTTAGATGAAAGAGGTTTACATTTCCCATATACATTCTGCCTCTATACCAAAGTGTAAATGTTTAACAATATAAGAAATTTGTATCTATTTTACATTATATATCTATTTATTAGTCATATAAATCATGAATAAATAAATATAATTAATGAATAAATAAATAAATAAATAATTTAGGATATAGAATACCTTATATTTCGATTAGTAAATTATTTACCTACCGACTTGCGAAGTAATATCATTGTTAAAAACATGTTTATTTTTTTTCCAACCTTGCTAAAACAGTACAGAATTAATGTCTGTACTTACTGTTTGAGAAATGTAAAGTGCCACACAAAAGCTCAAGAGGTTTAAGTGGTACTAAAAATCCTTAAGTTTTTTAAATGTATTTGCATGCTAATAAAATAAAAAAAAAATAACCGTAATAAATGACGTGGAACTATTCTTTCAATCTAAATTGACATTTAAGAAGCTTGTTGTTAGGACTATGAATCAATGAATCAATAAGATAATTAGGTAATTAAGTAAAATCTTAGGGTCGCTGTGATTGTATTTGCATGGTGCGAGTGGATGTGTGTGCTTTAATGTGTCATAATGGTAACAGGAGGTAGTGTGTTCATGCAAACTCTTGTTGTATTTATGTATAAAATAAATATACCAGTACTGAATATACTGTATCATACATGCATTGGTAAATATTTGTATTTGAGTATCTTGTGATTGAATGTCTGCATTATACTATTTCTTTTTTGCGCAAACAAAACACACAGTACAGAGGAATAACACCTGAGTCCTCAGGAATGGCAACACATGGGGGGTATCATGGGCGAAACAGTGTACTCTGTTATGTCCATGGTACTGCTCGTGTCTATAGGCGACGGTTAGCACTTTCCATCAGGTGGGCCGTCAGCTTGTTTGCCATTCTAAGTTGTATAAAAAAAAACAAGCGTGGCAACTACTGGCAAAACTCCCCATATGGGGAAGGCTTATGTCCAGCAATAGACAGTCAACGGCCGAAATAATAAAAAAATCTATACTTATAATAAATCTGTAGAGAGGTCAATTCTGTACATGAAATATATTTCCAAAATAACTATCAGGGGGTGATTAGTGATCGATACTGATGCCAAAAATGCAATCAGTAAAATTTTTGTCTCTCTGTCTGTATATTCGTTATAGATATAAAAACTACTCGACGGATTTTAACAAAACTTGGTACAATTATTCTTTATACTTCTAGGCAGGTTATAGTGTACTTTTTATGTTATAAATGTTATAATGGAAATGTTAAAAATGTCCACCCGTGCGACGCCGGGACGGGCAGCTAGTATATAATAAATTTAAAAATTTTGATATGATAAGAGTCTTAAACAATTGCGACAAATTTAATGCAATTTTTACAGGTATCTTTTTGAAGGTCTGATTATCTATCTGGCGTGTGTTTTATTTTGATACGCCACATAGAAGTAGTGGTTTTCTCACTTCTGAAATCTATGCATACGAAGTAGTAGGTGATAAGCTAGTTCTTTTTTTAAAATGGATGATAATGAAATGGTAACTCCGCCTTTTATTTTATACATTACATGTATAAAATGTGTCCTGTTTATTTATTCTTTATTTCACAATAAAACTTTGTACAAGTAGCGAACTTAATACCATGTGGCATTCTCTACCTGCTAACTATTAGGTAAAAACAAAAAGCTTATAAAGAGCAGAGGTAGTGATAAATATGTGCCATAATTATAGTGACATACTAACATAATTATACACAATAAATAAGAAATACATATATAATACTTAAACAAAACTTTTAATATAAACATATATATGGTATATCCTGTTATTGTATTTCTTCTCAAATCTTCAAATCTCAGTTGCAATTGCCCTTCTTATGTTCAATAAAGTAAAGCTCGTTTGACATCTCGTCTTATTAAATTCAACGAACACCAAACAATATCTCAATTAAGGAGAAAACGGCAAATACATCATGGCAACTCAAGGGTGGTGTGCTCTTTGCAAAATTACGAGCCTCACTATGACATACGTTTATGGTGATTTTGTCTCGCTACAGAAAGAGCATAACTCTTGAATTTTGTATCGCCGTGGCCCATTGAAGCGCACAGGAAAATGATCCCAATAAAACCGGGTAGTAAAACCCGAGAATTGTAAAACAAGAAAGACTGTCTGTCGCCGTACAGTTGTGGAGCACATGACACGAGCTGTATCGACCGGGCTCCGACGACGCGCGCACTCAAACGAACGAATGTCCCGCGAAAATAAAATTAGAATACTTTTTAAATTTAATTTATAGAACATATTTTTTTTTCTCTTATTTCCTTTTAATAAAAATGCGTTCTAAAATTATTTGATATTTTTTTTAATTACGCTTAAATGTTGTTCCAAATTTTTTTCCGTGCCTATTCCATTTTTAAAATTTTATTTTTCCTTTATAATTCTAAAGGCTTATTTTTTACTTTTATACTACACGTACTGTTTCAAATGCTATTAGAATGAGTACATAGAGGCTTTTGAAGTGCCAACAATACCAATAGCATACAGCCTGCGCCCAGTAGTGACTGAGTCGCGGGGTCGTACCGACGTCTAACTATAAATTAAGACGTTTATCGAAAAGGAACACATCAAAGACGTTTATAATTTAATAACACAATGGTCTAGTGTTCAAATAATAGTGTTTACATATATTTCTTTTCAGTAAAGTTTTCGGTGTGGCATTTCAAGCGCCTGTGAAAGAGTAGCTTTGTTGGGCTGGTTTACTTAATCTATGCTTCTATTTCTGGTCTGCACGACACATTTGTAATATTCGCCCCATTTGTATCCCATTTAGTGTATTGGCTTTGTTGATTTATTTTATTATAAATTGGATCAATCAATATGTGTTAAGCATCAAATGTCTGCATTATGGCAGAATTGCGTAAGTTTAATGTAAAATAAGGTTGTGGTTTTGAACAATTTATATTTAGAACGTGAACGTTTCGAAAATTAAAATTGTTTTGTTTTTAGAAATGAACGTTGATTGTTACATAAACGGTTCGAATGGTGACAGGATTCCAATTTTGAAATATAAAAAACTATTATTGCTGATACATTCGATAGCATGGATGGTATTTATACAATTCGTGCTATCAGTTATACAGTTAGTGTTACGGGTTACACTAGAGGCCGTTAAAATTAGTATAACTCGAACCTATGACGTCACAGCGGTTTCTTTGCTTTGAGGTTAGGTTATGTAATAGTACTTTAATATAAGACTAGTTATATATGGATATATTTATAAAATTTACTATTTATATTTACATTACATATTTTTACACGATTTCGTGTAATATTTTTTCTATATTTATGTCAAAAGGAACCTTCATTAATAATAATAACAAAATTTGTAGTCACATTTTAAAACACACAAATATCGGTTCGTACAGCTAATAGAATAAAAAAAATTAATAATTAAGGACAATAAATAAATAAAGTTTTAAGAGTGTGTCAGAACGACTTAGCAAACAGAGTGAATGATTTATAACGATACTTATGTTTACCGATTACTTTGGTTGTTATCTGAGAATAGATTTAATATATTAATATAAAAATAATGAAAAGTTTTACGAATTAAATTAATATACGCATATTAACAAAAATGTTGGCAATTTTGTAAATTAATTCGTATATATGACAAAAAAATGATTACCAAAAAAATATGTGTCAACCAAAAGTAAATCACTTTAAGCTTATTGAATTTTGGACAATATTTCAAAATTTTACTCTGAACTCTAATTACAAGATACTTCTTTTCTTTTTTTTAATAAATTATCTTAAATATTAAATATATATATAGAGTTATTTTTATATAAGTAGGTAGTAAGCTACCGTGTGGTTCCAGCATGGAATAAGCCACCCCTTCCTTTCTTAAAAGTATCATAAAAGGCGATTAAGGGAATTTAATTGGTCGAGAGATGGGCAGTGTCCCTCCAAAGCCTAACTGCGGTTGCCAATTCGCCTGCCAAGCGTGTTACTGTAAAACTCCCCTTTATGGGCGAGGCCTATACTCAGCAGTGGATAATTAATGGATGGTATGATGATGATGATGAAGTAGGTAGTAAATCTTCTTGAAACTAGATGAAAAAACAATTACTTAATTAAAAAAAAAACTATTTTTTTTTCTCCTCAAACTCATTTTTTTTTCTAAAATAGGATTTCTAAAACCAAAACAGCCAAATCTTTGTGTAATATAGATAAAAACTTATTACGCCGACCCCAAATAATAATTGCAATAAGGGTAGGAAAATAACGATAGGACTTCTAAAACCAATAAGGTTCATTATAAATAAATCTTAGATAATAATACAAAAATACTCAATGAAATGTAAAGAATGACAATGTTAATGGTTTTTTGATTATTACTTTGATCATTAGTTAAAGATAATTACAGCTACGGAACCATGTAAATGCAGGGCGTTCTACCTATACCTCCCATCGTTGAAACCGGAATAAGCAATCCGATCACCCATCTTTAAAGGAAAATATAATTTATTTGTCATTGATTGTTACTAGAGATCTAATAGCCTCATTGCTATCAATAAACCTTATCAGGTCGACCTCCACGTGGTTCCCCTGAAAACTATCGTTGTTAAATCTTATCATCATTGTGATGGACTAATTAACCTGTATTTATCCTCACCTATCATCTCTTACTGGTGCTTCGCCAGAATATACTGATAGTGCAACCTGGGTTACTAGGTTTTGACCTAGAAAAAAACCCAATGCGGTTTCCAAACGTCTTCTATATACAGATAACAATAAATTTGCATGCTAACACACCTTATCAGTACAACACATTATTATTTGGAAATGTTTAAGGCATATTTCATTAAATTTTTTCGCCAGATAACAGTCAAAATTTAATATAAATTGAATTTAATATTTAATCTGTCAAAGTTTGCAACAAAAAGCGCGTGAATAATAATAAAAAATAAAAATATACATTTTTAAGCCTCATGGCTTAGGGTATTCGAAATTTAAACACATAAAAAGATAATTTGTAAAACGGCACTGTTCTTACATCGACAAAACTGGAAAATACATCTATGCAACCAATTAAAACTATGAGCACGACAAAATAAACTAATTTTTACAGCGTTGTACATGTAGTGTTGTACTTATAATACCTCTGTCTATAATATTGATATTGATATACATAATAATATATTATGCTATTTTACAGTAGAAAATATTCTAATTCAATAAATTGGTTACATAGAATTTATACAAAAAAAAAAATATTCAAAGTAAGCAAGTCCTGATTACAATCTTTTTTTTAATTGCGTAGTTGTATAAATTATTGTAATATTCTTCTTTGTTGACTGCAGTCATAAACAATTTTATTTTTACATTTTTATTTTTAGTGATATATCTATGTTTCTGCTATTCTGTCCTTATTTTGTCCGCTTTATTTCTTTAATCTAAATCTATGGTCTAAAACACGGTCAGATTGCTGCAAGATTCATTCATTTTCCTCGTCATCATAATCAAATCAATGACAATTTCATGTTAATGACTGTTGGCACTTAATGGAGGTTTGAACACACATTGATAATTTCACAAATATTTGATAATAATGTCTATCGATTTAATATTTCACTATTGATCCCTAAAAATGTGGAATCACAGATAAGCAATAAGTCAGACTCGCCCCGTACGCGCCGTGATATTGCCAGCGGGAGCCAGCTGTATGCTTATTACGAATAGAAAGAAACACAAAGATCAAGACAGCGGTGACTCAACAAAACTTAGTTTATGGACGTGTCAAAGCAAAAAGTCGCATTTGTACATTTTAGCCATAGACTAGTTATTACCCGCGACATCACGTGGTTAGGATATGTAGTTTGATGAAGTTAAAAAATAAGCTGTCTCGTCTTTTATCTCAAACAGTACGTGTATATAAAATTTCGTGACGATTGGTTAAACCGTTAAGACGCTAAATGATTACAAACGAACAAACTTATTTAGAAATATAATGAAAGAAAGAAATCTCTGTGCATCTTCTACCGAATTTATCATGGGGAGTGCTCTGAAGAATTGTTCGGATTGATACCTGCTGCTGATTTTCACCATCGTACAACCCGCCATAAACTAAAATTTCATCCCAACCATCTGGACGAGTGGCGGTCCTCCACCGTGCGTTTTTCAAGGCACTTTCTCCCACGCACAACCACTCTTTGGAATCAACTTCCAGCAGCAGTATTTCCGAACCGATACGACAACATAACCTTCAAGAAAAGAGCATATTCCTTTTTAAAAGGCCGGCAGCACACCTGCAATGCCGTAGGTGTTGTGGGTGATTATGGGCGGCGGTAGTCACTTACCATCAGGTGAGCCGCATGCTCGTTTGCCCCCTGTGTTGTAAAAAAAAAAAAAAAGAAATATTTTCGTTCAAGTAAACTTAGATTTAAGCAATTTTGAATAGTCATTGTTTCATTGTATTATCGCCCATTCGAAACAAAATTTCAGCCAAAAAGAAGGAAAGAAAGGGATGGCCTATTCTATGCCGGGACCACACGGCAAATTCTTCATAAGAAAGTATCAGATCTTTTGTTTTATACAACTAAGAAACACGAATGGGACAGAGGTACCCAAGCAATCGACTTTTGTACAAAGTCTCCTCCCTTCTTTTCATTTAAGAGTTCCCTCTTGTCGGTGCAACTAATTCATGCATCTTCTTCCAGCCAGCTCTATCTCAGGCCATATCCTTGACCTCTCTATACGACATGACACCTAGTGTTTCTTTTATCTGTCCCATGTAGTTATCCCTCGGTCTTCCCCTTCCTCTTTTTTTAAAAAATCTTCATGTCGTATAAGATGGCTGAGCATTTTCTATTCTTCAAAGTTTGTGAAAAGAATAATCTGAAATAATTTCAGTTTTTTTAAAACATATTTGAATATTACAGGAAAAAAATAAAATAATGTTTCTAACTAGAATAATTTTTGATAAAAAAAAAAATATCAAAAAACCTCCAAAAACAAACACAGTTGTGCGGTTCAAGTTTTAACCAAAAAATATGACTCTAAATAAGCAATCACGAATTGCAGTATCAATAATATTCTATAAAATATCTATTTCATATAAGAAAAGCCGAAATCTATCTGCAGAACCCTCGGCGCGTGAATCCAACCCGTGCCTGACCTTTTTATTCGACATGTTCGAACCGATGTGCCGCCGGCCTTTATTATTTTCCTACCGACAGACGTTCTGGAGAAAAAAATGTGCAAAGAAAGACTGACAACAAATCTTTTTTTACTTTTCAATGTACGAAATACTAAAATGTGGCCAAATATATAATAGTATACATATATATATATATGAGTGTACCGGAAACATTTGACTTTTCCTTCAAACAGAATTTATCTGATAAATATCGCCTTTTTCGCCTACTCGTTGTATATCTGTTTTGTCAACATCACATTCGTTATTTTCTTTACACGCCCTAATAAACGTATTAGGGGGGAAAGGGATCATTAGTAAAAGGGTCCAACAGTCTCACTGCCAGCAAAATACCCTATCAGGTCAACCCCCACGCGGTTCCCCTGGTTAATTCTTGTTGAATCCATCAGCATGGGCCAACTGACCTGCTTTCATCCTCACTTATCACCACTTACTGGTGTCCCGCCAGCGTATACCGATAGCGCAGGCGGGGTTGCCATTCCATATTCATCCATTTAAATAAAATCAACATAGTATAGTTCTTTGTAATTTTTAAATGGACACAATATTTCTAAAAACTCATTCCGCATTGTATTAGGCTGATCGTACATTGGCAAACATCGTGCGACCGGTTGTTGCTTAAGCTACTACTCACACGCTACTTTTTTATTTTAATCATTGTCAATGTTGAATCATTCATACCCTGTATATCATCTCTT